TGACGCGTCTGGCTGGCAGTTTTACCACCCTGCGTCGCGGCGTGTCTTCCCCTCTCAGGACGTCACGTTTGACGAGTCGGTCCCCTTCTACCGTCTCTTCCCCTACCGCACTGCCCCGCTCCCCCCTCCGCCGCTCTTCCTCACGCCATGTGCTGCTTTGGTAGACCCCCTGCCTCCCCAGGGTCCTGCTCCCTCAGGTGTTTCCCAGGTAGACCCGGTCGAGCCTGTCGAGGTAGCTGTCGACTCTGGTCCTGCGCGAGGTACTGAGCCTGAGCGTGCCGAGCCTGGTGGTGCTGGGTCTGGTGGTACCGAGACTGGGGGTGCTGAGCCTGGGGGTGCTGACACTGGGGGTGCTGAGCCTGGGGGTGCTGACACTGGGGGTGCTGAGCCTGGGGGTACTGAGCCTGGAGGGACTGTGACTGGGGTTGCTGAGCCTGCGGGTACTGTGCCTGGGGTTCCTGAGCCTCGGGGTGCTGCGTCTGACCGTGCTGAGCCTGGAGGCGCTCTCTCTTCCTTGGAGCTGCGTGAGTGGTACTCTCGGTACTGCCGCCGCCGCAGTGGTGCTGTGGGAGCTGGGAGTTCTGCTGGCGCTGGAGCTGAGGGCGCTGGAGCTACTGGTGCTGGTGTGGCTGCCGACCCTGGGGTTGGCGCTGGAGGTGCTGGAGCTGCTGGGCCTGGAGGTGCTGCTGGAGCTCCTGGGGGCGCTCCTGGTACTGGAGCTAGCGGTTCTGCGGGGACTGGAGCTAGAGGTGCAGGTGCTGCCGGTGCTCCTGGGGGTACTAGAGTTGGCGTGCTGCTGGAGCTGGTGGTGCTGCAGGAGTTGGAGCTGACGCTGGGGGCACTGGTGCTGCTGGAGGCGCTGGTGCTGCTGGAGGAGCTGGTGCTGCTGGAGGCGCTGGAGCTGCTGTTGGTGCTGGTGGCACTGCGCAGCCTCGACTGTTCTTCGCTCCGCCGTCTCCGTCGTCTCTGCCACCGCCTGACTCTGTTCTTCGTCAGGTTCTTACCCTCCCGTCGTCTACTGGTCTTCCGTTACAGCCTGGGTCACCGCTGCCTGCTCCTTCTCCTTACACTGAGCAGACAGGAGGACTTGCTGAGCGTCGTGAGCCTGCGTCTCGTCCTGCGTCGCCCGTTCGCACTGCTCGCAATAGTCGTCGTGTTCCGCGTCCGCGTCCTCCTCCTGTCCCTGGCACGCACCAGATGGCACTTCGTCCGTCCACTGCTCCACAGCGTGTTCCTCTGCCGTCCCCTCCTGCGTCTTCTCTGCCTGACGTTCCAGACCCTGAATTTGACCGTGTTCGTGCTGCTCACCCTACTGTCACGCGTCTCCTGGCCACTGTTGTCACTGACCCTTCCTTTGAGTCTGCTGCTGCGTCTGCCTTAGTTGCTGAGCTTGTCGACTTTGCTGCTCACTGTCGTCTAGACTACGCCGCGAGTCTTGTTGCTGAGTCTGAGTCTGTCTGTCCTCTGTCCGTCGGGGGTGAGTGTGCTCTTGGCACGGACGTCCTTGAGGACAGGCAGGAGGAGTTCGAGTGCTTTGCGGCTGCTGTACCTCATCTCGTGTCCATGCTGATTGCACCTGAGGGAGACCCGGATGCACCAGACATCCCGACCCCGCGCTCTTACGCTGAGGCGATCACGGGTGAGTACTCCTCTCAGTGGCAGACAGCCATGGACGCAGAGATGGCATCCTGGAAGTCCACTGGCACTTACGTCGACGAGGTTCCCCCTCCTGGGGCGAACATCGTCAGTGGTATGTGGATTTTCAGGGTGAAGCGGCCGCCGGGTTCTCCGCCTGTCTTCAAGGCTCGTTACGTTGCTCGAGGCTTCAGTCAGCGAGAGGGAGTAGACTTCTTCCAGACCTTCTCCCCCACCCCGAAGATGACCACTCTTCGGGTGTTGCTGCACGTTGCCGCTCATCGTGACTACGAGCTTCACTCTCTTGACTTCAGCACAGCTTTCTTGCAGGGCAGCCTGCACGAGGAGATCTGGCTGCGCCGCCCCCCGGGCTTCACTGGGTCATTCCCTCCTGGTACCCAGTGGAGCCTCCGGCGGCCGGTCTACGGTCTCCGCCAGGCGCCACGTGAGTGGCACGACACACTGAGGACTACGCTTGCGGCTCTTGGGTTCGCGCCTTCTACTGCTGACCCGTCGCTGTTTCTGCGCACCGACACTTCACTGCCGCCGTTCTACATCCTCGTGTACGTCGACGACTTGGTTTTTGCCACTTCTGACACTGAGGCTCTCGCCCTCGTGAAGTCGGAGCTGCAGAAGAGACACACGTGCACAGACTTGGGTGAGCTGCGCAGCTACCTTGGCTTGCAGATCACCCGGGACAGAGCACGCCGCACCATCACCCTGACTCAGTCACACATGGTGCAGCGGGTCCTTCAGCGCTTCGGCTTCACCTGGTCCTCAGCACAGGCCACTCCTCTGGCTACAGGTCACTCACTCTCAGCTCCACCTTCGGACGAGTCCGTAGAGCCGAGTGGTCCTTACCCAGAGCTAGTTGGCTGCCTCATGTACCTGATGACTTGCACTCGTCCTGACCTCGCGTACCCTCTTGGTCTTCTGGCTCGCTACGTGGCTCCTGGTAGGCACCGACCAGAGCACATGGCTGCTGCTAAGAGGGTACTGCGCTACTTGTGCAGCACATCAGGCATGGGGCTAGTGCTTGGAGGGACGAGCCCAGTTGTCCTCACTGGGCACTCAGACGCTTCTTGGGTTGACGACCAGGCTACGCAACGGTCGTCACAGGGTTACACCTTCAGCCTTGGCTCTGGTTCAGTTTCGTGGCGTTCTACACGCTCGTCTTCAGTTCTCAGCTCCAGTTGTGAGGCTGAGATCTACGCCACAGCCATGGCTGCACAGGAGTTACGCTGGCTCACCTACCTGCTGACTGACTTGGGAGAGCAGCCTCGTTCTCCTCCAGTGCTGTACGTCGACAACAAGGCCGCCATTGCCTTGTGTGAGGAGCACAGACTGGAGCACAGAACGAAGCACATCGCTCTGCGTTACTTCCTGGCTCGAGAGTTGCAGCAGCGTGGTCAGCTTCGTCTGCGGCACGTGGCCACTCGGGCCAACACTGCTGATATATTCACCAAGGCTCTTCAGCCTGGTGATCATCAGCGTTTCTGCACTATGCTAGGGCTTGTGCCCACTTTTCCTCACTTGCTGTAGGCCTTGCTTGTACTGTGATCTATATATATATATACCTGCATGCTTGCATTGCTAGGTAGAGATCATTGTAATGTTTGTGTTGCTTATATGCCTCTGCATGTGAACTGGCCTTGTGGCCCTTTGCTTGTGCTCAGAGCGTGTGGTGACTTTGTGAGCTTGCTTTGCCTTTCTTGACTGGTCTTGTGACCACTTGTTCTCCCCCACTTTGCCTATGGGGGTGTGTCAAATGTTATATCTGCTGTAGTTTGTTTAGGCTGCAGTGGGGTAGTTACTATGGGGTACAGTAAGTTTAGGGTTTCATACTTGTACCCAACCCTCTTGCTAGTCCAAACACTCTTGTTCATTCAGACATCCTATAGCTGGAAGAATACCGTACGGAACTTCACCTCTGGAATTTGCTATTCTAACCAGGGCTCTCGCTAGGTTTTGGGGCTGTCTGACAGTACCCTGAAAAAAAATTCCTCCGTCTTATGCTCGGACGACGAAACTTCCGTGGTCTGCATTATAAGCTGGAATAAATTTTCTAGTCTGACAAATAAGACGAAAAAAAATTCCTGTTAAAAGTCAACCTACTGTAATCCTACCAGCAAATCTAGTCATAGTACCAAACAACCTAGGCAGTAGCAAAGGACCTAGTCAGAGTCACTAGACAGCGAGGCTGTCTAGTGACTCGAGAGGCTGCTATAAGACACGCGTAATGAATGCGCGTGCTGTTACAGGGCAGCAAATGGCTGTACCTGTGGTCCTATCCTCTGGTCCACTGGGCATATGGCCTAGTGGGTCAAGATGTCGGTTTCAGACGAAACCGAACTCGATATCTGTATATTCAGATTAAACATACTACGCGGTCTGGAAAAGCATACGAACCTAAAACGTTTAACTTACTGATCAGATGAGAACAAACACAGATTCTTAGGAAGCAGATGAATACAAAAAAACAAGTCTTAAACTCAGACCATCAGACCAAATTGGTCTGATGACGAGAACCCGGATTCTAACCACTTCTTCATTCAGCCCCAAAAGCACAAGCGTAGCTTCCTCGTACCTGCCAACCAGTGCCCTAGATATCAGCCTTTTTACGCTGATTCAGTGTTAACAAAGTTTTTTGTTATGTACCCTGGCTGATTTTCCAGTGTTTTTTGCTATACCTTGGCTGAATTTTCAGCCTGTTTGTATGAGTGTAGGCTGGGCACTCAGCCTTGTAGTGGGTACACACTGAAACCGGCAAACAGTGATTTCCGCCAGCCCACCACTTCCACACGAATCCCTCCCCCCCCCCCCCCCCCCCAGCCCCCGTGTTCCACTCAAATTTCCCACCCAGCCCCGGTGTTTCACTCGAATTCCACCCCCAGCCCCCGTGTTCCACTCGAATTCCCTCCCCCCCGCCCCCGTGTTCCACTCGAATTTCCCCCCCAGCCCACATGTTTCACCCGAATCTCCCCCCACCCCACTTCGTCCACTCTAACTCCCCCAACTCAACTCTCCTCCAGCCCACCCCGTTTCTCCCAGCCCAGGTTGCTCTCTCTCACCTTCCCCCAGCCCACCTGCTCGCCCCTCTCCAAAGCCCGCCTGCCTCCCTCGCCACTCCCAAACCAATCATAGAAATGTTACACTTAGCATATGTAGTTCGTAATTCTGCTTAGAACCAAAGATATACACATTCAGCGTCAATTTTTTATGAACACTGAATTTTCAGAGTTTTTTTCCTAGGTAACGCTGACTGTCAGCGTTGTTTTCCGTACCAAGGCTGATGGATCAGCCTGGTCCAAAACGAATCTAGGGGCCTGCTGCCAACAAAACAGCCGGGCCTTGCAATTTTACCATTAATTACGGTCTATTTTCAATCCATACATATCTTCGAGCCCACGAGGTTCCAAAGCTTTGTTCCACCGAGGGCAAACACGCTTGTTGCAGTTTCCAATACTCAATGACCGCAGCATCTTCAGCTCCGTGAGATCCTCTGGCAGACCCTCCAGCCGCGCACAACCACGCACACTAAGACTGCGCAGCCTGGTCAAGTGCGCAAACCCTGAAGGAAGGCAGCGCAGGCCTGTCTTTTCCACATGCAGCTGGTGGAGGCATGAGAGGCAGGTGAGGGAAGCGGGCAGGTGGTGCAGGGCGGGGCAGTCAAAGAGGTGCAGCTGGCGCAGGCGGGATGCAGCGCCAATGCTGTCCGGCAGCTCCCTCAATTCCCGCGCACAGTGGACCTGCAGAGCCCTCAGCTGCGGCACAGCCCACGCCATGTCGCTTGGAAGCCGCTGCATCTTCCCTGCCTTCCAGATAACCAGCGTGTGCAGCTGGGGCAGCAGCGCAAGGGACAAGGGCAGCTCCACAGCCTCCTCCTGCAGCGACAACTCCAGCTGCTTCACGCGCGCCAAGCTGCTGCCCACAGCCATCCTCTCCTGCGCACCAACCAGCTTCAAGGAGAGCTTTCTCAGCCAAGGAAGCACGGAGACGTCCGGCAGATCAACCACGTGGTAGCTGTTTCCAAGACTCAAGACCTCAAGGGAGAGCGGCAGAGACGTAGGAGGCTCAGTCTGCTCGGGGCATCCAGTCAGCTCCAGCCATTTGAGCTTCCCAAGGCTGTTTAGCCTCCCAGGCACCGAGACGAGCTTCAAGCAGTCATCAACTGTTAGTGCTTCAAGGCGTGAGAGGCTTGTGAGGGACTCTGGAAGCTGCTGAATCCGGGGGCAGGAACGAATGTGCAACTCCTGCAGGTTGGTCAGGTTCCCCAAGTCCTCGGGAAGCTCTTGAATCGTGCACATGGCCAATTCAAGTCTGGTCAATGAAGTCAACTGGGTGAAGGAGAGTGGTAGTCGCGGCTGCTGGGTCTGACCATTCAGATACAGCGTGTGCAGCCTTGGAAGCTCTCCAATGTTCTCCGGAAGCCTCGTCCAAGGCATCTTCACAATGGCGAGGGTTTGGAGTGACGTGAGGCTGCAGAAATCTTCGTACAGCTTGAAGTGCGGGTAGGTGGTGCATTCGATGAGGACGACCGTCTCGAGGGACGGCAGATGGCAGAGGGAGTCCGGGAGGGACAAGAGGGGCAGCCTGTGCAGCACGAGGGCCTTCAGCGCAAGCAGGCATCCAATGTCGTCCGGTAGGTCGTAAGAAGCAAAATCCTCGTGCCTTTGGTAACGCTCAGTAAGGGTCAAGCTCTCCAAGAGAGTTAGAGAAGCGAAGCTCAGCACAATTGGACTGGGGTCGTAATGCCCGAGTCTCTGGCGAAGGGTCAGCTTGCGGAGCCTCGGCATCAGCTCTCCGATTTGGAAGGTCGGCGCGTCGGAATCAGAATGCTCCATATCAATCTCGAGCCGCTCTAGGGCGGCACACGGGACCACCTCGCTGAACCTCGACGACTTGAGCAGAGCCAGCTGCGCGGTGTCAAAGTCGGCAAACCCCACGGAATCGCGGTGAAATGCTACGGCTTCATCTGAGTGTGAGAAGGCGGTGATGCGTGAGAGGCGAGCGATGTTCGCCACGCGTTCCAAGAGATGGTTGGAGGCAATATGCAGGCTGGTGAGCGATGTAAGGCTGGCGAAATCGGGAGTTTCGAGCGGTGAAGCATTTGTGAGCGCGAGAGTGTGCAGATGCGGCAGCTGAAAGAAGGATGCGGGGAATTTTACACAACGGTCGAGGCAGTAAAGTGAAAGCTGCTCCAACCGAGTGCAGTGCCGGAAAAAGAAATCCAGGCCCGCGGTTGTTATAGGTTGGGCGTCCTTCTCGCATTTACCGGCATAAAAATCTTTACACTTCACAGGCGCAATTCTGCTTCCGACGTGGAGGATGGCGAGGTTGGGACATGAGGAGGCGAGGTGAGCGAGGAAGGCGTCGTCGAGAGTCTCGACGCTGCCGTCGCACAGGTGGAGATGGGTCAGGTTCGGTAAGGCAGCGACAGCACTCGCGAGAGCCTGGCGAGACACGACGAGATTGTCTCGGACGAGAAGCGCGGAGACGCAACGCTGAGTGAGACCGCGCCAGCGACGGCACACGGCCGCCACGAGGAGAATACGGTGCGCGTCCGCAGAGGGAGGAGGAATGGGTAACGGAGTCTTCTCTTCACGAATGGCCTTTTCCCCTAAAAGGTTTGCAGCCAGGTACGTGGGGGTGAGACTCGAGCAGTGGGAATCCCATAAGCAGTCGCTGTCCGCTTTTCTAATAATAGGCTGCTCGAATTGCCAAAAGATCTTCGTAAGAATGTCGTCAGGAAGGTCATGGATGTGCGTGGGTGGCTCCATGATGGTCAAGGTGGGAGACTGATGACGACGTATAGTCGATGAGCCTCAGATACCAGTCCTAACGTTACTCCTGTGATGTATACGAGCAGACACGAGAAAGAGCAATCAACTATGGTACGATGATTAATGGCTGACTGTTTTCTAAGGCAGGAGGCGTGAGGTGTGGATAAGAAAGGAATCAGGCAGGTAACCGCTAGCTTTGTGTGGAGATCATAGCGTTTGAGGCGTGGTCCGTGGATAACACGGATCGAAATCGGGCAAGGGATGAGCAGTTGGTTTGGGACAAGAACCAGGCGTGGAGATCACGGCGAGTGGAGATCACGGCGTCCGCCGAACCAGGCGAAGCAGGCACGGCAAAACCGCGGACCACATTCAGTCCAGATTCAAGCATGTGCGGGCCGTTCAACACTGCTCCTGCCCTGGTCTAGAATGTTGAGAGTTCAAGTTCGAACTCCTTGAAGTAGAGATCGCCAAGAACCAGGTAACCCGGTTGCCTCGCGACCCACGGAGTTCGGTTTCGATGAAGAGTTTATGATTGGTTGAAATCAACTCTGGCAAAACGATCAACACTTTCGCCTCAAAAGGGTGACTGTTCATTCTTTCAGAATACCGTAACATGCTCTATACCAAGTGTTATGAGTTTTACTAGACAGAGTGCGCGGAAGACTTTATAAAGAGAATGTGAATTACAGAATGACAATAATGATAAAGGAACATGCATTTGTAGGGTCAAAACCGTGTTAGGCGAGGACCTCGGGACGTGGTTGGCTCGGAAATGTCGCGATCGGTGATGGGCGACTCGGTGCAGGTTCGGAACGAAAGTGCAGGCTGAGCCTTCCTGATGCGAAGTGCTCGGGCTGTCCTCGCTAGGAGCAGCCTCTACAGTAATGAATTGTATATTCATTACACTCTCCCACCTTCTAAATAAGGTGCCCTTATACGTAGCCGAGTCTTGCAGTAGCGTGAAAACTACCGATCTCGGTTGAAGCTGATCTGACGGTGTAGAAAACGTTGAGTTTCGAGCTGACGCGTGGCTGACCCGTTGACCAGGCGAATTGGAATGTCAGCCATCAATGTTGATCAAACGATTACGAACGAATGTTGAGATGAAGTCCGCCAATGAATGAATACCGTAGATGTGGCGGATGAGAGGCGGACGGTGGAGATGAACACGATGTTGGCAGAAGTTGTGACACGAAGTCAGATGTCCCTGAATCGGTAGCCGTCGATGTCGACGAAGCGATCTCGCGCGTCTGTCGTGCTGTCAGAGTCTGACGAGACTGTCAGAACTGCCAGGTACAGTGCGAGAAGAAACCCTTTCTTTCCCCCCCTGATGAGAAGGGTAGACACCCAGTGTGATACAGTTGCGCGGGCAGAAAACTCCAAACCACCCTGACGTCGAGTGTAGTAAATACACCAAGTGTTGGGAAACCCGTGCGGATTTTTGCAGCTACGGTGTTGAGATTGCAGTCGGTGGCCAACTTTTCACTGTCGAAACCTGTAAAAATTTGCATGGTAAGCAGCGTCGAAGTCCCCTGTAGGATCGAATCGTTTTTTGTTGGGGCGGGGCTGCAACCCGTTGAAACTTCCTGACGAAACCCTTTTAGCTGTCGTTTTGCCGCGACTGCTGCTGCAGCATTTCCAGCGACTGCCACCCCAGAAACCAAGCGTGGGAGATCCAACCTGCTGCCGTATCTCTAGCTGGCAGCGAACTTTGTCGTTTCCGAATCTGAATCCGTGATTGATGCAACATCTGCACCTGTCAGCACCCCCAGCGGATATGTCGTCACACGCCGAGGCCTTTGTCACGTTGCGCCGAAAACTCCCGGGCAGAGGCAAAATTACAGCTGCTGCTCCTCCCCCCAAACACTGAAATATTTTTTCAAAGTCAAACTTGAACTGCGGATGACGAGCTACTTCGGCGACGTTGTCGTGACTCGCAGAAAACTTCGGGGCAGAGGCGAAAAAGCTGTCCTTCCTCCCCCCACCTGTTGCGAGAAAAATTACCAGTGTTGCGGCTGGTACCCCCCAGAAGCTTCCGATTTGTAGAACTACACATTTAACGAGTGCTTTCGCACGCTTAATCAAGCAACGCTGTGTTGTGTGATGCAACCATATGCATTCACGTCTGTCTGCCTCCCATCATGTGTTCGTACGTTGCATGCGTGGTGTGAGCGTGTGCATGAATTTGTGTTTTGCGCGGTTTGAATTTCCTGAGTATGTGTGGATGATATTTGGCTTGGGCAGATATCTGAAGTGACAGCTCTACTCAAGAGCTTTCCGACGAGCCAAGGATTGCTTCAATCGGAGCACGAACGAGAAAGTTACGAACGGTTGAAGTTCGTATGTTTTTGAAATTCGGTTGTGGCGACTATGGGAAGTTGTGGGGCTGATTCTATATGGGGTATAGACTTTTGGAGGTTGGGAAATTCGGTCCCATCCAGGCCTGTCGAAGTTTCTGGGGCTCGTACTTGCGCTCCCCAGCTCCTCCCCATCTGACCCTTGGTTGGGTGTAGGTGAGCGTTTTGGCGCCCTTAACGGGCACGGGCGCACCCCAAAGTGAAAACTTGAAATCCGGGCATGTGCGAAGTTTGCACTTACACAGATGTAAACTCCAGCCAGCTCGTATTGGACGCTAAGGGAATGTTCGGGTGCTCCAAGGCTGACTGAGACACACACACACTACACACACGAGATTGGCTAGAAAACGCTAAGGGAAAAATCCCCTCGGCGCGCTCTCGTGCAGGCTAAGGGGAAAGAGGGGGGGGTGGTCTCTGGCAACTTGGGGTGGGGGGGTATCCTACGATCGGAAACCAACACTAAGATAAAGGGGAAGGCCTGGTTTCGTCCCTTAACGCATCCGGGGAAGGGTCGAACGAAGCACTTAGTGGCACGGGTGGGGTGCGAATCTAAAACTTGACGCATTGGAGCTGGAGCGAAACTAGCCCTTAATGTCAGGGCATTAAGGGCATATGCCCGTCAATCGACAGGCCTGGTCCCATCACTGTAGATGCTGCCATGTGGTTGGGTGAAGCCAAACCAGGTTGGCAAGTGTGGCCAAGTGGGTTGAGGTGGATGGCATGAGTTGGGAAAGTGACAAATGTGAAAGTGGGGTTGCCTATGGAGAGGGGAATTGTGTGGCATGGGGTTTCCTTTGGTTGGGGACTCCTTGGGACCTTCCCTCTCGTCCTCTTTATCCCCACCCACCTGGTTTAGTGCCACTCTAATGCTCTTTGTGTGACTTTTGTAAACTTGTGAGAACTATTGTGATTGAGTTAAGTTTTCTATGGCAGCATACCCCCTAGTGCGCCGAAAAGCATAACTCGAGATTTACTCCACCTTTCGATACGATTCAAATTGGGAATTGTAGCCACAGACTAGAGCTACAACATACCGAAATTGGTGGAGTTTTAACGGTGCAATTTTTCGTCGACGACGTTTCTTGTGAAGTCGCGGTTTCTGTCCAGAATTCTAAGACCAACGATTTTGTGATAATTTCGGCTCCTAAGCTTTTAGACCCCGTCCTTAGCCCTCTCTAACACGCTGAAGTTGGCCGTCGGCACAAATACTGTCAGCGACCCCGCTGACTCCGTTAAGACTCTTCTCGGAACTGCTCGTTGCACCCGTAAATGTCGGACATTAACACACCACGTAACATCTTGGTCGCCTGCAGGTTGCCCATCGAAAGAACCGGTGTTTCTAGCACGCCCACCCGGTCACCATTTTTTTTGTGCGGTTAACCACCCAAGCTACCCACCAACAGGAGGTGCTTTTTTGGCGTGGAACCCAGTACTTTAGGTCTTCCGGAACCGATTTTCACGGACCCTAGAGCGCATCAACGCCGTAGATCTCGCAGTGGAACTTCCCCAGACTGCTTCGAAGTACACCGTAAGTCTTTGGCGAGCAGACGTTCACCCGTCTCCCACCATTGATTTTTTCGTTTCACCCCCCGACAATATTGGCGAGCCACCGTTCCCCCAGTAGCCGCGTTTGTCGGATGAGGTATAACTCCGTGTTGCCCGCGATTTTTCTGGCGTTCGATGAAGGCGCGAACTCTTTCGTAG